TGAATATAAACAAATAGTCGGCTAATATGACGGGCGTAGGTATCTGCTGCTGCTGCTGCTACTGCTGCTGCTACTGCTGCTAGTCGTATATTGTTGATTTTTGGTTCTAGTGGTTTTTGTTTGCCTTTTTTGTGATTTGTATGTACAAATGTACAGACATATGTATGTGCGCAAAAGTGAGCAATTAAATGTAGACTTTTGTTCTTATTTGCTTATCGCTTGTTTTTTTTCTGGGGGCGTCTAAGTTTATTGCTTTCATGTACGCTCACTTTACTTGCTACTCATATAAACTTTTATTTATTTTTTCTGGTTTTTTGCTTTTTTGCTTTTGTGTTTTTTGTTTTATTCTTTTCTGGGCGCAATGTGTGACAAAATCATCAGCCAGTACAAGCACAGCAATAGTAATGCTAAATTTATGCATTCCATTTCAATTTTTGTTTTTTTGTCGCTTATTTGTCCAGCTTCAATTCATCATGGTCTAGGGGCTATCGCTATTTCGCTGTCTTTTTAGATGACTGTAGTGTAAAAAAATATAAAAACTGTTGCTTGTGCGATGATATGCATTTCTGATTAGCATAAATAAACGTTGGCTAGGCGTGGCTAAGACGCAGCTATTAAGGAGTAAAAGTATTATATCTTTTTTGAGATTGTTTACGATTTCTGAGAAAACGCCTATTTTCGTAGAAGTTTTGTTGCTGCAAAGCTTGCTGGCACCTTTTAACTTTTCAGTGCACAAATTATGAAATTAAGACTTCAAGTTTAAATACGAACTGGCATATTAAGAGTCATTTTTAAAAAGTGACCCATTTATACCCCTGGGTCGTCAAGAGATAAATTTTTTTTTCTTCCAAAAATGTGGGAAATTTTTTTAAATCGCCTACTTATTTAGCCGTAATTAGTTTTTTGCCAGAGAGCAATGCATAGTGCATTGAACATTTTAGATTTAGATGAATTTTGGTCAGAACTTTACTGCCAAAGGAAAAGAATAAAAAAAAATCGAAAGTTATGTAAGATTCCTATATTCACAATTTCTGGACATTTGCAAGTTTATCTTTTGAATATCTCATAAGCTACTTTAGTTACAAAATTGGATCTGTTGTCGTTTTAAAGCTGATATTTAGAGCTATGAATAAGCAAAAAAAAAAATGGAAAAAATTACAGAATTTTGAAATTTCAGAAATGGTAAGAGCAAAAACTTATAAAAATGTTTGGCTAATTTTTTTTGAGTGAATAGAGTGAAGAGATCCTGAAATTTTCAAAATGTTTTTTTTTCCTGTTTTTTTAAAGAGACCAATTTTTGAACTTAAAAAAAATTCCAAAATCCTAAATAAAGTTACGTTTGAAAAAATTCTTTTTTTTTTTTTTCAAAATTCAAAAAATCATGAAAATTTCAGGTTTTTTTAAGATCTGCTAGAGGTATTGTCTACAAAAATTGAGAAAAAAATATCAAAAATTTCTGTATTTGTTTTTGTTTTTCGTTTTTTTTTAATATTTTTTTTTTTATAACGAGACCAGAACCAGTTAGAGAGTATGATCCCATGTGTTCAAGACTGCAGCTTCACAAAACCTGGGTAGCTTAAGAGAAAGTGTTGAGATGATCCCATCTCACCGTACTCTTGGCAGCTGCGACAGTGGTGAGCCGGTGTTATATTTAGTCTCACCGTGAATAATAAACGCAACCAGTTTTTATAACCAAATTTTGGTTTAAATATTAACTTTCTATCTATAGTCATTATTCTACAGAGGGAGAAAAGGGACCCTACATTTTTTTAATAATATGGGTGGGTTGGTATTTCTTGGAAGTAAAACTGAAAAATTGCGTAAAAATGAGCTAAGCAGCAGTTATCTGCCAGGCTTATAAGACGTAAATATATTCTGAAAGATGACCACAGAGTGGTCCCCTTAGACGCTATCTCTCTCATTTAGGTTACTGCAGTTAAAGCAGAGTAGGAAGGGCAATAGCAATGCTGTGCTGGATGTGGCAATATGAAAAATTGAAGAGATTCTTAAAAAAAAAAAAAATAAATATTGTTTTGAAAAGAGATTCAGGCGACTTTTAAATATGTATTTATAACCTATTTTAGCTCTTTTTAAAAAAAAAAGCCCTTCTCTTAAAAAGTATGTAAATACGACTATTTCAAGAGTAAGAGTCATACGTACACTTTTACATGCCAAATATCAGTTCAAAACATTTTCATAAATACCATCTGTGTAGGTACATACATACATAATTGTGCATGCAAACACAAACTCACTCGCAACTGCAATCATCCTTCAATCATCAGAAATCTTTTCGCTGTTTTCATTCATTTCGTTCGCTCTCACAAGTTAAAATTGTTTTGTTTTCTCTTTTGATATAATTCTTCGCAATTTTCGCATGCCATCACTGCAATACACTTGCCATAGAAAACATACTTGTACATACATAAATACATACATGCCATAGGATACACACATTATTAAAATATATGTATGTATGTATGTACATATATAAACGTCGGTATACACGACTTTTATGACGAAAAGGTAATGAAGCGTGCGACAGACGCATTATAAAGGAATCACTAAGCTAAAAGCCGCAAAATGTGAATTGAAGGAAAGCAGCGCAAAACAAATAAACAATAAATGAAAGAAATTATCTACACTTGTGCAGAGAGTCGTACAACGGAGCGTATGAGTAACATTTTTATAGCGGGAGCAAAATTGGATGCATTCCATGAAACATAGTGCACTCCTAGTGTACTCCTATTTGCAGTTGTAGTTGTGCATTTGCTCTGACTATAGAAATGTACGTTTGTTGTATACATATGTGTGCTGCACTAAGCTCTACATCATTTTTGTAGTAGATTAATTTTGAATTGAAGTGTCTACTATGTTTGAGGGTTTCCGTGTTATGCGACTATTTAGTTGTGTGTATCTGGGTTAGAAAAAAATCACGAAGAAATGTAGCACTCTTTTAGGATTGCAATTGAAATATTTAAATGCATTCTTAACCCGTTTTACTGTAATTTCATTTAGTTCAGTTTTTAAGGGGTTTTATATGTAAATTGTTTGGTTTGCCCTTGTTATGTGAACAGAATTCAAATCCAACATAAATTTTGGTTGCCATATTAATTATACTTGTAATGTATGCAGAAAAATTAGGGTTGAATTTTGGGATGGGGGATTAGTACTTGCTTTGAATCTCATGAATTATAATTATTTTAATTTAATTTGTGCAACCGGTAAAGAATGGATGTAATTTTTTTATAAACTCACCGGTTTTATTTTTTGTATTGGGTACTTGAGTGGAAAATGACTTACCTGAAAGTAGAAAACCAACATTTAAAATAAATTAGTCTCTAAACAGAAATATTATTTTTAGCTGTTTTTTAATAAAATTTTTTATAGAAATACTGCGTGCATAAGGAGTAAACCAACACACATAAATACATTGTATACTCGGACTACGTTCAGCGGCTATGATTTGTATTCTTTGAGTTAAATTTTTTCTTGGGAAATTACCGATATTTTTTAGATCTATCGTTTGCTTGAAAAATACTAGTTATTTTTAGTCATATTTTTCGCTTAGTTGGGTATCTCTTTAGTGATAAAAATTTTACTGATAAAGATAAACAAAGATAATGGTGGTAATGGCAATGGTATTGGTATGTAGTTGTAATGATAATGGTGTTGGTACTGATATTAGTATCGCTAGAGGTAATACTATTAGTAATGGCAAAGGTACTATTAATGGCAATGGCAATGGTAGAGGTAATGCTAATGCTCACAGTTTTCGTATTTAGAAATTTTAATGATATTTTCAAGTGCCTAAAGAGAGTAAGGCTAAATGTAAATCCAGACAGGATGAACTTGGACAAATAGGTATATAGATATTAAAGTAAGATTTGTGATCAACTGTGCCTATTACTTTTCCCAGAACTTCTCCCAAAGCAAAGTCCCTCAGAAAGTTCAACAACGTTTTCGGCGTGTGCTCAAGCTGTGGCCACATCAGGGAAGCCAACTCGTGCGGAATTCCCCGATTTGCGGGGAATTAGAGTTAGCTTGGGGAATCGGGGAATGAACCGTTTTTTGTCAGGAATGTTAACTAATTTTGTATTTTTTGCTTCACTAATTTCCCTAAAAAGCCGCACACGAAATGTAACTGCAACTAAAAGTACTGATTATGCAACCCTGCAAATTATGCAAATTACCGTTGATTTAAAATTTTCTTTGTCGCATTTGCGTTCATATAACGAATAAACACAATTTTTTTTTATGGAAGTAAACCGTTACACCTTCGGAAAAAAACTTTAAATCGAAAATTTTTTGACACCTGAAATTTGCTTTTACTAGAATTGAGTGGGCCACAAAACTGCATACTTAAAATCTTTCTAGAAAATCTAATTGAAATGCTCGAAACTTTTACAAAAGTTTGTTGATTTTTTTTTTAATATGGCAGAAAGTTTTAAACTTGGATTTATACGGCGAATTGAACGAGCTACACAACCGCATACGGCTCATTCCACGGTGACGAGTGTGACATCTCAACTTATATTTTTTTAAATCATTATGAAATTAAGGAAGCAAAAAAGAAAAAAAAATACACCTAATTCCTCAAAATAAACAGTTGATCCGCCTGTTTCCCTATGTAAACTGAAATTCCTCACAAAAAGCGGTCCTTTCCCCAATTCCCCACGCTATCTGAAATTCTCCGCAAATCGGGGAATTTCCTACGAAATGGCTTCCCTGATAGGCACGAATAACTGTGCCCTATTTATACGCCACAAATGAATAACCGAACTTTTAAGTTTGCTCATAGTTCAGCTTAAATGGTTATTTAGTTGGATTTAAAAATATGAAAAACGCAATAAAATAAAATTTCAAAAATGTTCGCCATGCGGGAGCAAATACCTCGCTCATGGTCAAATATCCGTTTCATGGCTGTTTAATGCATCCACATTACTAAGTAATTAATTTATGTGCATATTTGCCCTGCCACTTTCGCCCTTAATTCTTACCGTTATTATTGCTTATGGCAAATCGTTGCTGCAACTGTTGCGCCAACGCTTGATGATGCTGCGCCAGTGGGGTCAATGGTGGCGGTTGCCCCAGCTGATGCGGCGCCGATTGTGAGTGTGGCACGTTTGACATGGGTGACGCATCGCCGCCGCCAATACCACCACCAACGCCGCCCCCTCCTTGTCCATTATTACCACAATTTGTGCCACTGGAAACGACTACTCCACCACCAACATTACCAGCGCCGCTATTGGTGGCACTACCACCAATATTCATGGCATTAAATTGTTGCACAGATATTGAAGTGGGCACATTAACCATGCCTCCTACTGTGCCACATTGTTGCTGTTGCTGTTGCTGCTGCTGTTGCAGCTGTTGTTGGCTAATGAGCGCGCCACCAGTGCTGCCAGATGTGGTGGTATTTATGGAATTTTGTAGATTACTGCCATTGGAATTGTTGTTGTTGTTGTTGGTGGCCGACAGTATAGAGCCATTGGCGATATTTGTTGATGTATTGGAATTAGTGTTGTAGTAAGAATCCTCGCCTGCAGAAGGAAAAAAAGAACAAAAGTGGAGTGTCATAAGTGGGCTGTATAGACGCATGCACGCTAGCAGCGGGTACATACAATGAAAAGCTCAAAAACTTAAGGTTACTTATGCATAGGAATGTATGTATGTATAGCAGTTTGCAAGAAAGTTTTGCACGGAAGAGGAGCTTTGAACTAAAAGCTTTAGCGCTTAGTGCGTCATCTGTTAAGGCCTAGCTGCGCGAAAAGAGCTAAACAGAGCTTTGAGCAGCAATGCAGTTACAAAGTTAGCAGATAATTTTTGTACGTATGCACATTAACTAACTGCCATCACCATCTAAATATGATACTAATAGCAGCGCGTGCAATTTATTTATGTGTATAAAATTCAGTAGAAACTTTATACTTTTATGAAATGTATCAAACAATGCAAAAGAACAATTTTTCAATTTTTTTTTTGTTTTTGTTTTTTCCATATAAAACGTGGGCAAAAATAGAATTATAGACGGATTTAAATGAATGAAGTTTTTATTAATGAATGTGAGCACGCTAAATTTAATAATCCAATTTGTTTCTTTTTTTTTAACTTTTATACTTTCACTGTAAATCTAGTTTGAAGTTGAAAATTCGGGTTTTTTTAGCATTTATGTACAGTGGTCGAAATAATTATGGCCGCACCACATTTTGACAAGTTTTGTGATATCTTTTTTGTTATTTAATTTTTTTTTTATAAAAATATAGTTCATTCCTCAACAAAACCCGTGTAAATCCAGGTTTGAAGCTTTGTGCAATATTTAAAAAAAAAATCAACAAACTTTCGTAAAAAATTTTAATTTTTTAATTAGATTTCCCAGAAAGATTCTGACTATGCAGTTTTGTAGCCCATTAAATTCTAGTAGAACAAAGGACAAGTTTCAAATGGCTAAAAATTACGGTTGATTTTTTAGAATTTTTTTTTGTCCATTTGTGCTTCCATATAACGAATACACAAAATTTATTTTTATATGGAAAATAAACCGTAATACTCAGAATCTTTCTAGGAAATCTAATTAAAAAAGTTTTAAATTTTTACGAAAGTTTGTTGAATTTTTTTTAAATATTGCACAAAGTTTGAAACTTTGATTTACACGGGTGTTGTTAAAGAATTGACTATATTTTTATAAAAAAAAATAACCAAAATTAAATATCGACAAAAATAATATGTTAAAACTTGTCAAAATGTGGTGCGGCCATAATTATTTCGACCACTGTAGGTACTAGCCAGCCTTGTATGCGCGAGGCTTCGTCACACGCTGAATGTGTACATATGTATGTAAGTATGTACATATACGCATTTGGAGAAAGCAAGTGCCAACCCTTTTCAAAAAATAAAGCCTTTTTGCACACCCAGTGGCCAAGCTTTTTCATAAAATAATAAAAGCTTATTGCACATCCGGAGACCATATCCTTTCACTTGGTACCTGATTTTCTAGTCCAACGAAAGGTGAAAAACTTATAATTTTTTAAACGATGGCAACCCTACTCAAAAACAAGCACATAACTGAACTTATAGAGGCCAAGCCCTGTGGTTTTACACCTCACTTTTCCTATTCCAACGAACATCCCGCAACGAACGGTGCGTATCATATAGGTTTTTAGACAGGTGGCAACCCTATAAAAATTCCAAATACCAATGGTCACACTCCTATCGATACAGAGTATAATGGAGAAAATCGCGTCCAAATCCGTTCAGCAGTTTTCGAGATTAGCGCGTACAAAGAATCTCGACTTTCCTGCATACCTGTATAATTAATTCGATTTTCAAAAGGTAGGTGTCAGTTTACAGGGTTTGGCCTTTAGATGTGCAATAAAGTTTTATTTTCTAAAAAGGGTTACCACCAGTTACAAATTGAATTCAAATTTTTTTATTTTATTTTATTTTTATTAAAAAAAAAAATTAGAAAATACCCGCGCGCCTCACTGCGCCTTCAAAGTATTTTTGTGTTGTTATGGGTTCATTCATTTAAAAAAATATTAAATATGCTTTCAAGAAAACTATTAAGCTATGAAGGTTTTGAGTCTGGGTGGCTTACTGGACTTTCCTACTTTAAAAATGCATTATCTTTGCTCGCACTAATCATATCGGCTGAAAAAAACCCCTTTCGAGTTCAATCTGACATTGTAAACGCTTCTTTTTTAAGCAATGACGACTTATGACTTTATTTAAGTTCAAAGTTCCAACGCTTTAAAGGCAGAGGTTACGTTTGAGTGAGTATCTCTTGTTTTTGTTGATTATTTATTACCGTCGACATCTCAACAAATAGTCATTTGCGAATCAAGCGTCGAGACGTAGCGCGACTTGTTTTGATTATGAATGACAGCAGCAGGCATAGGTTTGGATGAGTTATTTTGCCAAACCCACTGAAAAAACTTAAGCTGTCACTCACATAATCAGTGAGTGGATTGTATTAAGAGTGGCATGTGCAAAAAATGAAAACGAGGAGAGTGTTTAAAAATATACTTGCCAAGCGGCCGGTAAAAATAATATCAAACATATACAATAATACCTGTAATGTAAGTAAATATTATGTCCAGCCTGTTTTTATATTGATAGAAACCATGATTTTTTTAACAATAAAACCCAATAAACAAAAGAAAAAAAATTAAAAAAA